CTTTTTATTTAAATATTTATTACTATTTATTTATTTATTATTCTAAGCAAATTATAAAGTCGTTTAAAATAAATTCATTCAGTACCTAGTTATTATAAGAAATTTGTTACACTTTCTTTGTTTCATTTCCCTTTACAACTAAGTTTGCTTATTAAAATTTCAAATTTACATCTAAACTCTTGCATTTATTATAACTGGCAAAGTTGGCAGAGAAACTTTTAGTCGTTCTTAACTTTAATCACGTAAGTAGAAACATTTATTCAATAAACGTGAATTTAAGTCTTTTGCGCCTCTTCTAAAATTTCCTTTTTAAACAGAGAATTCAAAAATAAAATGCTCTTGTTTATAAAAAGCGCGTAAATCTTTTCGTACATTCTGCCCAAAAATTCCTATTAAAACATTTAAAGTTGAAATATTGCTTACACACGCTTCAAAGTTTTAATTCAATCTTTTTCTTCAATGGCGAATTATAGTAATTGGTGGGTTATAAACTTAGAGTAACTAATTTTTCAAATTTTTCACTTTTATCTTTTCTATCATTTCATTTTCATCTTGATTTCAATTACAACAGTCAATGTGAATAATGTTTAATATTCACACTTATGAGAAATGTGACGCCTTAAAATATTTGGATCTAATCAGGTAGCCTGTCTTGGTCAGGATAAGTCCATTCTGTGCATTCTCCTTTAAAACGTTCAATAGTTACCGAATAGTAACAAAAATTGATATTCTTTTTTAAACTATTCGTAACTTGTAATGTGACGTTCTAAGGGGGTCCTTTCTTTTATAAAAATAAATTGCACTGTCTTTCATAAAAAATTATCTATCAGGTAAGGTAAAACATTCACGAAACATAAATTCTACCAAAGCATCGCACCCGTTAAAGGCTTTAAATTGCATTTATTGTAGGTAGTTATATTACTTTATTATTTACACGAAGAGACCTCTGAATATATTTGTACGAATTTTCCTTTATCACATCGTATTTTTCAAAAGATGATGGCGCTCTTTGATGATTGTAGGTTATAGAATATCTGTACCACAAACTTTTTAGAAACGGACACGTGTTTCGTCCATTTTCGTCAAAACCTTTTATGTAGTCAGTTGTTTAGCTAATTATTTTGACACTATCATAGCGGTATTAACTGACATTTAATCTGTCAAAATTTTTAATTTTTATCAAATTATCAAAATGACGTGGATATTTCAACATGTACTATACTGAACACAGTAAGACATTTCGGATTATCCTTAGAGCCGTTAAGTTTAAAATGTCTAATGTGACGTATGGTTGCAACTTCTATACAGGCATTATAAAAAGGTAAATTTCTTAAAAAATGCATAATTTTCTTTTAATCTGGTGATATAAATGTACAACCACAGTTTTAATTTGAGTCTGTTTAGGGAAGTCAAGTTTATAATAACTAGATGGACTAAAAAATTTTCTGAATAATTTTTCTTTTAATATGGAATACCTTCGGCACATTTCAGCACATTTTTATTTTTATAAGAAATTGTAAAATGACGTGTCTAACATTATGGACATAACAGAAAGCACAATTTTGGTTTCAACATTTTCGATTAGGAGATACGAGCCTTCAAGATAAACCCCTTACTGAAAAGCCTGTATCAACGGATATTGAATCTTTACATCAAGCTATAGAAGTGGGGTCTATCAAAAGTACTCGCGACATATCTAACGAATTTAACATATCTCAATCCAGTGTCGTTCGCAACTTACACAAGCTTGGGAAAAGTTGTAAGAGCTGCCGAGTTATTCCGGACGAGTTAACATTTGAACAGGCATAACGCAAGATTGGCGAATGCAGACATTTTCTTGAAAATCTACTTGACGATTATTTTTTTAAAAGAATTGTCTCATATGATAAAAAGCGGATGTATTTTAGAAATCCAGACATGAATAAACAGTGGTTATTGAGCGGTCAGGTGCCAAAACGAGATCGCTTTGGAAAAAAGTAATGTTGGAAAACTCTTCTATTGGGAGTTGATTCCGGGTGGTCATGGAATTACAACAGAGCTTTTCGTAGACCATCTGGATGCAGCCCTCAGTGAAAAATATCCAGCTTTAGTCAATCGACGACGAGCGCTGTTAACGATAACGCTTCTCCTCATGCTGCAAGTCTGAAAAAAATAGAATTGGAAGGAATCGACTGTTACCTCATTCTGTATACAACCCTCACTCATTAGCTCACTTCTTACGAACACGCCAATTCAACAATTTGCAAGATGTTGAAAACGGCATCCGAGATTTCTTCGCGTCTAAAACAAATGATGGTAACGTCAAGGGACAAAAGAACTGACTTCACTTTAAGTATTGACTATTGAACGAAATGGTTTATATTTTGAATATTAAACTGAAATTTTTAATGTGATAAACTTTCCTTATAAGTATTATGTGGTGAAAACCGCAACAAATTTTCCATCAGCCTTGCTGATGAGGTTCGGGAAATCCGAATGAAACGTTTCAGAAATACAAACATATTTTCAACTATCTTTTGATGTATGTATCTCACCATGATCCTAATTTACTATTCTACTTACTGTATAAGTACTATATAAAAAATTCTTGAGGGAAAGTGGATAATTACGTACCGTATGAGAAAACATAATATTATCACTTCCTTTTATCTGTTTTTTCTGTTTATCTTATTGTGGACGTCGTCTTTCAAACAAATCCAACTGAATGTACAAACAGTTACAAGAAAATTATTCCTTTTAAATCTGCATTTCTCATTTTATAATGGAAAGCCAAATGTAGTCCGTTAATCTACATTATCGAGATAAAACTGCAGAATATCGTAAAAATAAGTTTGATTTTCATTATCGAAATAAGTCCCAGTCATTAACTAAATCCGACAGCGAGAATAATTTATAATGACTTGCTTTTCTTTGCTATTCTCAAATCAAGATTCCACTACTGCTTTGCTTACTAAGTAGCTTATGGAATTAGGAATTTTAATTCTGGAGAATACAATCGTTTATACTATGAAAGATGAAAACAAGATCTAATTTTTCAAACGGCAAATGTTTTAGTGAGTAAAAGAACTTGAAAAGTCAAAATGGTTAATTAAAAGGTTTCTGTATAATTGATGTTTTAAAACTGAATACTTTCATGATATGAGAGTATTTTATCGAAGAAAAGAATCCGGCAAACATCCGTTTGTTCAATGGTAATCATGTTTGAAAAGGTACATACGAACGGGTTATAGAAATTATGACCTAAACCTTGACAGCGTTCATGATGGAGAACGGATATTCTAATATTATCATACAAGATTAACAGAAGCTTAGTGTATTTTCCTTAACTTTTATTTTACACGTTTTGATTTGATCAAATGAATAAAGAATAAAGATTAACCTCGCAAATTTTAATATTTACCAGTAGGTAGATATTTTATTAACAAACTGCTTTTTTGACTTTACATTTATAAAACATTTGTTTTTAATGTAAATACAAAAAGTATTTGTTGTTAAACTTACAGACACTGAAATTTCTGAAACCAAGAATTGCATTCATATTGTTATAACATGAATATAGGATTACCTTGATTTGGAATTTGAATGTCAACTTGACTGCATGATTTAGTGTTGCTGTTTTAAGTTTTAACTACCACAAATTGAAGTATATTTTTCTAACAATTTATTCTTTATTGCAGCCATGGAGAGGACCTCATTGTTACACCATTTGCACAAATTCTTGCCAGTTTAAGAAGCGTTCGCAACAACTTCCTCTGCCTCACCAATGTGCCCACTAACAAGTAAGTTTATTAAAAAACCTTTTCATTAATAGCTCATACAGATACACAAGTAATTTTACTGAGCGATCAACATTAAATGAAATTGATACAAATAATGCAAACGACTGAAACTGTAGCATGAATATTGTTAGTATACATACTTATACACAAGAAAGTTATTCTAATAATGAGAAATGTATCTGACTTACAAGAGTGTCATTAACCACTAATTGTTCGTGTTCAAATGAAATAGTTAATGACTAATTTTAGTTTGAATTTGAAAAAGGAAAAATTTTGTGTAAAGACTGCTTTTGATGGTCTAAAACATTGACCTCTGCATCCGTAGGTATTAGCCGTTACAAAAGCTCATCATCATAAGACTGTCAAAACAATAACTATTTGCGAAGAGTAATCTAATCTAGGTCTACCTCTACCCCTCCTAACTCCCGTTTCTGCTTCTAATATGTCTCTGACTAGACGTTCATGCCTGATAAGGTGTCCCGCCAGCCAATCTCGTCTATTTCCAATTGACTTCCATATAGTCCTCTGTTCTCCTATTCTTTCTTATATCTCTTCATTTCTAACCTTCTCTATCCACGGTATTCTCATCATTCGCTGGTAACACCACATTTCAAACGCTTCTAACCTTTTCTTTTCCGCAGCGTCCACCGTCCATGTTTCGCACCCGTCCAAACATACACCTTTAGCAACCTTTCTCGAATTTATAAAACAGAAGTAACTCCTTTTTATTAAAGGCAACTCGACCCTGTGCTATCCTCTATATCGCTATATCCCTACTACTCCTTCCGTCCTGATTTATCTGACTTCCTAGATCAGCGACTTCTTCTAATCTTTCGTCCTCTATCTTTACATTCGCTCTTTCCCTATTTTATCTTCGCTTGCATACCAGTATTTTTGTTATACTTTTTTTGTATTGTCAATACCGCTTCCATTTTATTTAAAGCTGTCTCGCAGAAGCTCATATTTTCATAAAACTGTTTATTGTTTAAAGTACTCCTGTCGAATAACAGAAAAATTATAGACATCCGTATTTAATCGCTTTCAATGAATTTAAGTTTATTTTTCATCTTCTATAAACAAAAAGAAAATAAGTTAATAATATTAAACACATACCTATTAGGCTATTTAAACGCTAGAGGCATGTACCAAAGAATTGTACACTATAATATGAAAGTTTTCTTTCAAAAATTTTATTATATGAATTTTTATTTAGTTGCCGATTTTACTAAGTATTCAAATTTCGGCTGGACTACCGTAACATATGTACTGTGGTGTGAAAAACGTCTTATTATTATTTCGGACAGAGGTAATGTTTTTCGTTTAATTTGCGACATGTATCTGGTATACGTAAAATACATGATCGAAATACGTGATTTTTCATCTAAGAATCAATTTAATGAATAACATTTTCCGTACCAATTTACAGATGGCCGTTATTTACGTAGTTTGATACATGAATGAATTTCGTGAACTTGCACGTGAAACGTGGCTTTAAAAAGTGTTCCGTAAATAAATTATAATGATCAAATCATTTTCATTTTCATCCAAGTAATAATAACACGACTAAATATTCACGAATGTCTGTATTGTGTCTACATGTCGTGTGCCGATAAAAATNATTTTCATCTAGATTTTATCCTTTTATAAGAAAAATTACACATTTTATTCTCTAAATGGAGGCTTACGATTTCTGATGTCTACTCCTTGCAATGATTTTTGTCGATACGTCTCAAATTTCATTAATAGTAATAAACAATAGTTTTTATTTGCGAATTAACTTTTTTGATACCCATTGCTTTCATATAAGGTTTTTATGTTATAAAAGGGCTTCAGCCCAAAGGGTGATTGGACAGGCACCTCCACATGTTCGTATATAAAATAAATCATCATATTCTCGAAAAGTAGAGTACCTACATCTCTACTATATCTCCGCCACTCTGAACTGTTTCTGCTTCGAATATGCCTTCAATTAACCATTCATGCCTGAGAAAGAACTGTATCTGTTTCCTATAGACTCATAATTCCCTCTGTTATCCTACCCTTTCTTATATAAATTTTTATACTTCATTTACTTTCTTTAGCGATGTGCCCCTTCCAATGTCTTGGATGCGCGCTGGCAAAATCGTAGATAGGGAGAAAAAAGCTCATTATACTCTCGACTCTTGTTCATTAAACGTACTTTTTCATACAGTACCTGCCAAAAGTTTTGTTCAATCATGAATAGTAGTGCGAGTCGAAAACAAGCGTTAAAGCCTTTAATATGTCT